TTTGGATTCGGTATCAATTATTCAACTTGATCACATGACATGCTACATTGTTGTTGCTGTATACAAAACTAGCTCGTTGACTATGAAAATAGGTTGTTATTGCTGAACTTCAATGTTGGATTGATCTGTCAAGCTACTTGGATTTCTAAGGCATCAATTGTTTGTCATCATCAAAAATGGGGAATTTGTTGCACCCTATGCTTTAAAATATTTTAATGATGACACAATTGATATAATTAAATTACAAATCCTAACAACCTTATTTGTTGATAAAAAAACAAGATGATTTTTGTTGGGTGGTTACAGCATATCAAAAGATTGTTGAGATTCCAAATCTGAAGATAAGATAAAGCTTGAAGTTGTTGCAGTCAATTGAAGATAAATAGCAGAATCAAAATTTGAAATTAAGAGATAAGGATAAAGTCTAAACAGCATTATCATGGGAGCAAAAGTTTATGAAATTTTTTTACTATATATATACCCATGCTCCAATAGTCTCACAGTGAAGCAGCAAATGAGATCTAAATTTTTAGCCTAAGACTTGTGTTCTTTATTAACTTTTTTTACAAGCTTAGGTTTTAAGTGCTTCATCGTCACCTTTTAGCTTTTCTAGAAGTATTAGTAAGGTGGTTCATTTTAAGTTGATTTTTCTCCGTGTGTGGAGACTTGCTATTGTTGGTAGTAACAATAGGTGTGGGCTTATCGGTGGATAAGTGTAAACTTTGATTTAAAGGGTTGAATCAAAGTAGTGTGCCTCAAGAGTAGATTAGGATCTACTTGTACTTGAGTATTTTGGCTCATTGAAATTAGTGAATTTTTTTTTAAATCCCATTGGATTGAAATCCAAGTGGGTCGTGGTTTTTTACTCCTATTGAGCCTAGGAGATTTTTCCACGTAGAAATCATTGTGTTTTTTTTTATTTGTGCATCATTCTTGTGATTTCCTTTTATTAGCAAAAATTAGAAAATTATATTAAAAATTATATTTGAATAAAAACAAAAAAGAAAGATAGGTGCTACTACTCAATTCAACCCCCCTTCTTGAGTACCACTGGGACTAACACATACCATTTTTTCTTTCTCTCAAATAATCATATAAATAGAAGGTTGATTCCCTCGTATACACTTTGGATCGAAATAGTTCTACCAATTCTTCCGAAAAGTAAATTGATTTTTTGGAAACCTTGCTCGAATTGGATTCTTTTTCTTTCTCTATCAAAAATATACTTACGAAGTTGTTCTAATTTATTAATTTTCACTAACTTTAGAGAAGATAATTTTTAACTCATTGGTTAAACCTAAGAGCATGAACGAGAAAATGCTAAGGCATTGATGACTAATACAACTTTAGATATGTGGAGAGTTGTTGTTTAACAATTGTGAATGTTTATTAAAAATTATATTATGTTTTACTAATTGAGAAAATTATATTATGTTTTACTTTTTTTAATAATATCATTGCATTTCTTTGTTATTTTATCTATCGACTCTTGTAATTTTGAATGTTTGTTAAAAAAGTTCACGTGGTTTTTAAAATTTTATAAATCTATATTGTCCTTTCAAATCTTATAAATTCCATTAAAATCCTTTAAAATTTAATCTCTATGAAGTCTTGATTGTAAAAAAAGTATTTAAAATCCTTCCAAATCTAAATAGTTTTTTAAAATCTATAAGATTTTTTATCTTAAAAAAATCTTTTAAAATCCTAATCCAATACACCTCCCTTAGATAAACAAAGTTTTAACATAAACTTTCATTATTTTATAATTCTTGTTTAAATATTTGTTAATTTTAACCAAACTCAATAACATTATAGTTGATATCTCATTTATTAAAGTTAAATTTTACTTTCGCTCATTTTTTTTCGATGAAAATTATTTTTCATCATCAATTCAAAGATAATAAAATAGGATAGTACGTTTTTATCAAAAAAAAAAAAAAAGGATAGCGCGTTCGAGTTAGCTTCAATATATAAAAATAATGCAATACAAATTGGCCGGACTTTAAGAAATAAGTCGAAAATATCAACTTTTATAATAGATTAGTAGGTCAACCCATTTAAATAACAAAAATTAAAACTTAAAAACAATTATTTTATGAATTCTATATTATTATATAATTTCAATCCACACTCCCATTCATTTTTACTAAACCCTTTACTCAAAACCTAGGAGGAGCAATCAATGTATGTTAATATAATATGTCTTATTTTTTCTTTGTGATCCAGATAATATAGGCCCAATCAAAGTCCCATATGGAAAGCCCAAGCCCTTCCAAAGCACAAGAAACAAGCATTGGCACGATGCCTACATCGCGGTGTTCCAAACGCGATACCCCCCATCGCGACGTACAGGCCGCGATGGTCTCATCGCGGCACACAAGACTTGATTCTCATATCGCGTATGAAACCTTCTAAGAGAAGTAAACTTAAGGCTCAAGGTAACTCTACCGCGCCTTAGCTCCAGTAAACAACGAACAGCTCTAGCTTGCCTCAAATCTACTACTAGACCCTCTGGAAGATAAGGCTACACAGGTCCCCTAAATAACCTGCAGCCCAAGACTGGCCACTCAGAAGCCAAGCCGCCTTAACCAAGGCGGCATCCCAGTTACTATATAAACACACGATATACCACCAAGGTACGATCATCCTTTACTTTAACAATATAACATACCTGCCTCTGATACTGACTTAAGCATTGGAGTGTCTTCGCAGGTACCCCCATTTGGTGCAACGTGAAGGACAAAGGGCTCAAGCTCGCCCTAACAGCAGTACTTGGCCCAGGCCAATAACCACTGAAGGAGTCTCAACCGTGTGTGATTGAGCTCAATACGTATCGGACAGTCCATACCGTATTTGGTCTGATCACTTTGCAAGAACAAAAATAAAAAAAACTCATTTTTTGTCTGTGGATAGTTGTTCATAAATCAAATGCTTTCTTCTCCCTTTTATTCTTTGCAGATGAAGATTGAAATAATTTTTTTGAATTTGTTTATAAAAAAAAAAATTGAATTTTACAAAAGCTTGACATAACAAAATTTGGATACCTATTACCTTATATTAAATTTTTTCTTGACCCGCACGTTGACTTGCTTTAACCTAACCCGTTTTAATACGGGGCTGATTGTGTTGGGTTGATGGATTGAACATTTCAATACTATGTCAAAATAAATGGATTAAATAGACTAATCCGACTTGTCAGACCCAATTTGTCACCTCTATTTTTAATCATTTGAATATTTTTTTTTAAATACTATTTACTTTATCCTATCATAACACTAATTTTAAAAATACACTATGACACCTTTTAAGCGATCCAGATTGTCAAAGTATGAGATAAAGTATGATTAACTTAGTGAAATAATGTAACTGCTATATTATACCTAGTTTTTTTTTTTTTTTTTGAAGCTAAACAGTCACGTCTTCTAATTATTATGTAAGCTAACCATATTTATCACTCGGTATTCCTTATAGGTATTTTAAAAACCTCCATAAAGAAATTGAGTAGACAGAAAGTAAGGTGGAGCACTATCCCCTGATTGCATGACATGTCTATTTTGTCTTCTTTGGACAAGCAACCATCTCTGTCTAGACTCCACTAGTGTAATAATTTAGCAACAGTGGATGTGTCAATTATTTCATTGGGGCATGTTTATGCTGTTAGCTACAAAATCGTGACATACAAAATTGTATGAGAGGTTCGGAAAGCTCCTTTTTTTTCATGTTAGAGGTCTTTGTTGCGTATCAGGCTGGTGTTATAGTGTTACCTTTTCTTTAATGACATTTTCAACATTAGTTTTATTGATGCTTAAGTAAATAGTTGAGCTCTGGGACTGAGCTTCTATGTGAATGTGATGCTTAATTAAGTAAACTCTGCCCTTAAAGCTGTAAAGCAATATGCAAAGGTAAAAAAAATACCTGAATAGAAAAACTAATAATTGTAAGTAGGGTTCGTTTTCTGTCATATCACATGACAAGATCATTTTTCTGCACACACAAATTAAGTGTGGGTCTCACGCTTAAAAAAAAAAATCAAACTAAAATCAGGATACAGCGCGGTATCCTCAAAATACGTTGTCAGATCCTTGTTGCAGGAATGGACTGCAACATGATTCTTATATTTCCCTCGTAAGTATACATATTCTTAGTAAACTCTGCCTTTGAAGCAGAGGCAATTATTATTATTATTTAATGCTTCTTGCTAAAGTCTAAACTACAACTGCATCCAACCAAATCTTCACCAAACTCAAAAGCTAACTTCGAGGAAGAAGAAAAAAAAAATAGAACAAGAAAAAATAAAAATAAAGGTATGGATATACAAGTCATCATCCTTTAAGTCTACATACATCTTAATACAATTTACCTCTACCCTTTTTAAATACCACATTAAGATTGGTAACGTGTTACTTGTTTAGAAAATCATCTCATAAATATAATTGCTTTTTATGACTGGTGGTTCGTTATATCTAATGCCAACTTTTCTCCTTTATCCTGACTAGGGACATACCATGCGTAGAGTTTAGTATGTTTAGAAAATGATTATTTAAAAATTAATTAATTTTTGAAAAAAATTATCCTTAAAATAGATTAATCCAGACACTAACTATCCCTCCCATCTAGATGTAAGACTAATTAAAAAGAGGAATGGAGTTCTAAGAGGGTTTTGGATTGTGGGCGAGGAACTGGTCAATGGTGATGTGTTTACAATATTACAACTCTATTTACTAGGAAGGATCGGTGGGGAAAAAAATATGTGCAATCTTCAATTTTTTATTGAATAAATAAATAAAAGAAGATTTCGTGTCAATCTTGTGATATGATTGTTAAGTATAATAAGTACAAACATTAGTTTACTTGTTAACATGATATAAGTGTAAAATGCCCATATAACCCAAAAATCCTCATATAAACATTATAGATTATGGATTATAGAACTTGACTAATCTTAAAAAACTTGTATGAACGGGGAGAAAAGGGGTGAAAAAAAAATTTAGCAGTTGACTTGACCTTGTTAGCTTTCTTCTAACTGCACCCTTCTTTCTGTCATAATTTGTTTTCAATTGTTGTTGAAGAAATGCATTCGGAGGTATATGAAAAAGTCTCACTGTCTTCTTGGTATCTCGAAATTTGGTTCTCCAATTTTTGGTTAGAATTGTGTTTGCTTTGCATGTCCCTCAAGTTGTTTTAGTTTCTCAGAAAATTTTTAGTCATTAGTCAAAGTTGTGAGCTTTTGTCATGATTGGTTATTCTAGTTTGATTCCTTAACCCAAGTTATATAAAACATGATGTGTGTGTTTTTCATATGTTTTGGGATTGCAGCTTGAGACTTGGACAGCTTTGGTTGCCATTTTGTGCTTTCTGGGCTTTATTCTGAAGGAGACAGTTATGGGAGGGAAGAGTTCAAAAGGGTCTAATAGGGAACATGTTTCCTCATATGAATATGCTGGTTCTTCATCTTCATGGGATAACTATGGAAGATATCCAACACAATCACCACCATACCCTCAGCAAAATCCATATCAAACGCCTCATCACCACCGTGCATCAGCATCAGCTCCATTTCATGATTATGGACAACCAAAAAGGAAGTTGGATAGGAGGTATTCCAGGATAGCTGATGATTACCGTTCACTTGATGAGGTAACTAGATCATTGCATGTAACCGTGTTTTGTGATTTTTCTTATATATGAACAATTATTTGATCTTGTTTGATTTTCCTTGTCATTATCATTGACTTTTCTTTTTGGTTGGGGGGGTTGCAAAAGGGACTGTTTTTATCATTGACTTATCCCTGCCTTTATAATGTGAAAGCCATCTATACAAAGTTCAAGTCTTTGACACCAAAGGAAGAAAAAGAAACTAAGAAAAGGAACCAATTTAATCCATCTAATTGGAGAAAAGGAGATGTTATGAATAGTTCTGCCTGAAATCAGAGTAGACTTTTGTGCCTCAGTTACAGTGAGGATTTGGATATTTAAGCTCTGAATTTTTTGTAATAAATAATAATTCTCATAATCAGGATTTAGTGTAATGATAAACATGAGAACTTCCTCTTTTTGTTGTATCCAATTTTTTATTTTTCCACGGCTAAAGGGCATTAGAATTATTACATTTTTAACATTGAGTAAATCATTTACTTGAGCAACATGGGATTTGAATTCAAGTCATAGAAATTACATAAACAAGGTCAGCTGAAAAGATGTGGCTAAGAGAGGATGCTATATGTTTCATTAAAGAGACTACTTCCCCACCTTTTTCTTGCTTCTCGTCATGCATGCATGCATCATCAGTGGAGCATCCAACATTTTAATTTTCTAATATTCCTTAGCAGATAGATGTTATCAAAGATAACTATGTCTATATACATAAAAAAGAAACAAAAAGAAAGAAAGAAAATAAAAAGAAAACTATGTATGTTGCTGTTAGTAAACTAATCCAAGTATGCAGTAAGGTTGACTTGAGATATGTGGATGAAGCCAACTGCTGAAATTCTTTTTTGTTTTTTTTTCTTTGCTCACTATTCAATAACTCTATTAAAAATATTCACAACTAATTGTACAAGTAACATTATGATGTCTGTAGTAAAACATGTTTTTGTTTTATGGTGAAAGTTTATTAAATGTTTCAACTAACAATTTACATCTTTACAACCCCAGAGAGAGGAGGGGTGGGGGGGAACCATTATTTTTGTCAAATAATGAAGTAATTGAACACAGGTTACTGCTGCTCTTGCAAATGCTGGGCTGGAATCTTCTAATCTCATTGTTGGCATTGATTTCACAAAGAGCAATGAGTGGACAGGTTTTATCTCTTACTGAGATTTTGATGCTTTAATCTTTTGTAGTGAGTTGTAATGCTAAATATATACTTCACTTTGAAAACAGGGAAGAGGTCATTCAACAGAAAAAGTTTACATGACATTGGAAGTGGTCATAATCCCTATGAACAAGCAATCTCTATTATTGGGAAAACTTTATCTGCTTTTGATGAAGATAACTTGATTCCTTGTTTTGGATTTGGAGATGGTATTGCCTGATTTAAATCTAAGTGCTTTTACAATGAAGTTGTTTCAGTTTCCAGATTGCAAATCTGATTGTTTCTTTTTTGTCAATTTTTTTGTCAGCTTCTACACATGATCAAGATGTGTTTAGTTTCCATTCAGATGAGAGGTTCTGCAATGGGTTTGAGGAAGTCTTAACACGATACAGAGAAATTATTCCTCACCTCAAACTTGCAGGTTTTTCTTTCACCCCTTATCTTAAGAGTTTTTAAATTAGGCTCATTATGAATCATTGCATTTATGTCACAGGACCTACTTCGTTTGCCCCAATTGTTGAAATGGCTACGACTATTGTTGAGCAAAGTGGTGGCCAATACCATGTATTGCTAATAATTGCAGATGGACAGGTAATTATCTGATTCATATTTCACTGTTGACAGATACACTTTTTTAAGTACTTTGTATCTGCGTCAGTCATCTTAAGTCTCATATCACAAGTCAAGAAACTGCGATACTTTATTTGTAATTGTCAGAGAATAATATAAATTATTAAAAAAGACCCTTACCTAACACCTTAAGGTTTTGGGTTGAAGTGGTTCTTTACATGGTTCAGAGCTTCAGTGACCACAAGGTCACGAGTTCGATCCTTACCGCCCCCTACTTTCAAGTGGAATTAAATAAAAAGTACAAAAGGTAAACCAAAAAATCAAAAATTGAGCCTGTGCAATATCCACGTTTCAAGCCCAAAGGGCTCTTGTGTGAAGGGGTGTGTTAGAGAATAATATAAATCATTAAAAAAGAGTGTTAGAGAATAATATAAATCATTAAAAAAGACCGTTACCTAACACTTAAGGTTTTGGGTTGAAGTGGTTCTTTACAGTAACAGACAAGCATAGTTTCATTTGGTTTGCCTTGGTAATGCTAATATCTAATGTAGCTCATAATATCATGATTATCATCTTACCAGTTGCACAAGAGAACTGAATGTCAACAATTCTGTCAATGCTTCGATAGAATAATATTAGTGTGTTATATATAGATATCCCTTGTTTCTGCCCTATGATCGGGCTTCAAAAACTGATACACGGCATGTTGCCACAGGTGACCCGAAGCATCGACACACAACATGGCCACTTAAGTCCACAGGAACAAAAGACAATAGATGCAATAGTAAAAGCCAGGTAAGTTTTTAATTTTCTCTCTTGTGGAGTATCATTCTGCATTCTTATATTCTTTTTAAATTGCAGTCAGTATCCACTGTCAATAGTTTTGGTGGGAGTTGGAGATGGACCATGGGATATGATGAGGGAATTTGATGATAACATCCCTTGTCGAGCATTTGACAATTTTCAGGTTTTGTGTAACTCACTTAGCCTTTTTTACTTGCCATATTGAAATCTTCCTAGTATGCTAAAATGCGATATTTTTATCTGTGGCTGGATGCAGTTTGTGAATTTTACTGAAATAACGACGAGGAATGTAGATTCAGCAAGAAGAGAGACAGAGTTTGCTCTTGCAGCTTTGATGGAGATACCTTCTCAATATAAGGCAACCATTGAGCTTGGCTTATTAGGGTAATGTCTGGATATCAATATATGAAAATATGGTACTCATAGCCTGTTATGTTAGGCTTTCCTAGTGTAATACTAATAACTGAATTTGAAAAACTCATGCCTTCATTGGTAGTGCACGGAGGGGATATTCACCAGATAGGGTTCCTCTACCGCCGCCTCTTTATAACCGGACTTCTTCCAGCATCGGCGCAAAATCTTTTCGGTCAAACAGTTTTCAGCAAAGTGTACCTACACATACTGGCTATGATAGTGGTGTTCACACAGAACCATCTACAAGTTCTTTATATGATAATAAGGTATTAAGGCCATGCTTTCCAATGTAAGAAGCACCTTTCATATTAACCTGAGACATAGTTTAGCTTTCATCCCTTGATGTCATCATAATGATTCACAATAATTTCTTTGTCCCTTTCAAGAGCGGTTTATAATTTATATATGACATGTTTGACTACAGGTTTGCCCCATTTGTCTCACTAATGGAAAGGATATGGCCTTTGGTTGTGGGCATCAGGTAACCAATGATATTATATGCTGCTTAATTAAGTTTGAATCTAAGGCTATATGAAAACTATATATGATCCCTCTCCCTTTTATTTCCTCCCATGGCAGACTTGTTGTGAATGTGGAGAAGACCTCCAATTCTGCCCCATATGTAGGAGCACAATCCATACTAGGATAAGGCTTTACTAGTTAACTTTGCTGTAGACCTGCTTTCAATGAAATTTTCATTCATTGCCAGAATAAGGTTAGCCATGAACGTTTTGATAACGTCAAAAACTGAATGTTCTGTTGATACCATAACTCATAAATTAACATGATTTATAAGCAGGGTCGCAAAGAGATGTGCAGAGTTGGTCTAGGTCTTTTGATGGATGGGTTTCTTGTGCATGAAAACTTACATGCCCAGTACGAAGAGTTGTTTATAGAAATAAAGGACCTTAACCACCCCTTCTTTTGTATATATGGAGTTTGTGTGTAGACCTCATGTTTTAAAGTAACCTGCTTGTATAAAAATTGCTCAGAGTGTTTTGAACACCACCTTTATTTTTGGTTTTCTCTATTCAGTCTTTCTATGAATTTTGAATCCATTTAATTTGATTTGCTTTCATAAGAAGGGGTGGGAAAAAAATTCTTCAAAAAATCCTTTCATGGATACGGATACCTAATTTTTGTTTATTTAGAACGAATCCCACATTTTTTAAGAATAAATACCTTTTTAGATCCTTAACAAAAAAAACATAACACATTTTAATCCCTTAGAAAAAAAAAAGTCGACTTATAATCCCTCTGAAATTCTAATTCTTTGAAATTGTGATTCCTCAGAAATTCAAAGAAGACCCATATTAGTCCCTTAAAAAGGACTAATATAGATACTTTTTTTTCTAAGAAATTAAAATGGATTCCATGTTTTTTGTTAGGGACCCAAAAATGTATTTACTCTTTTTTTTTTTAAACTGAACTCTTTACGGCATGTTACATGTAGATAAAATCAGATGTAACATGACTAACTCCTTGGGAAAAAAAGATGATATTTGAAGCTATTCGCTTACAAAGTAGTCTCAACTGTCCTTTAAACAACTTACTTTCTCCCTAAACTTTTTTCTACCAAAAAAAAAAAAGAAAAAAAGAAAGCCAACAAAGTTTTACAACCTTCAATAATGAAGGGATGCATTTGACAACAAATTAGACAGCAGGCTCTTTCCCTCTGGCTCTTGAAGGAACTTCTTATCTTCTATGTAAGTCTCTATTTCTGTAACAGTCTTTGTCAATTCTGGTGCTTGCCGTGATTTCAGCTGAACTAAAAAGTTCTCAGAGATGACTTTCAACATCTTTAAGAATTGAGATTTATATCTTCTAAAAAGGGTGTTGAGATATATAGTCTCACATTGATTGTATGTGCAACTAATGTGGCCTTTATAAGGCCTTGGGCACTCCCACCCCTTGAGCTAGCTTTTGGGGTGGTGTATCCCAAGGTTCTTTACATGGTATCAGAGCTTCGCCGCCCCCCACTTTCTCTTGTGGCGTTTCTTAGCACAGGTAGGCTGAGCCTGTTGCATTGTCCACTCTTCAAGCCCAATGGGCTCTTGTGTGAGGGGGTGTGTTGAGATATATAGTCCTAGTATATAACAAAGCACCTCAACATTCTACATTACTTACTTGCAAGAATGCGTTGAGCGAAACAGTTGTATGTTGATTGGTTGGGAGAGCATTCAAGAACCTTGCAAGCCATGCCCAACCTTCTTGTATGCCATGTAAATTTTGAACATTTGGAATTTCAGTCTGTTGAAAGAAGCATGGAAAACAGATCAAATGAGATCAGTAAGATGAGAAACAGTAGTTGGCAAACTGCAAATATGGTCCATGCAAATTTGTTAAAAATTTGAGACAATCATGACATACCTGAACCAGTGCGCCATACACCATCATGTATGATTCTAACCACTCTAAATAATGTTCTGTACTCTCCATCTTTCCATCATCTTCTCGATAACCAATACTTCTGAAGTATGCCTCTCTTGATTGAAAGGTAGACTGACGGAATAAAAATTAAGAATCCAGATTCAACAGCGTAAGTACCCCATGTTTATAAAATTATATTTAAAGAACACATCCACGAGCATATATTATCAGAATAAACAATTATCCTCCATCCATGAGTAATATTATATATTTTGAGTTGAAATATTCAAGGCAGTGAAGAAATAGCACTAGTGTGAACTAAAAAAATAAAATATTCTTTTATATATCTATCATCCAATATTGCAAAATTATGCTTTCTGCAGTAATTGATCTTTCTCTGTAGAAATGTCATTGTTACGTCATAAAAGTTGGATAGCTACTGTTTACATTATAGCAGTTAAAGCAAAATCTTATTGCTTCTCTCATAGAGATAAAATGGACTCAAACCTCTTATTTAGGCAAAATGTTGTATAAAAAGGACGAATAAACGAATTTTAGGTAGCATAAGTGTTTCTTACTTCAAATTGAATTTAAAGAAAGTTAAAATATAGTAACTGTCTCCTCAACAAATCAACTATACCACAATCTATTTAACACGAGGCTAGGATACTACACAAAAAGAATAAATGGCTCAGTAATGTTCTCATGTTATATCAAGTTACCTTTCTGTAAACCATGTGCTTTGGGACGGTGTATGGGTAGGCCCTGTGAAACTCAGCCAGCAAAACATCCATTGCCTGTGGGACTTGCCTTGCAAATGAAAAACAATTAAACCCAAAAGCAAATAAATTATTATTATTCCTTGAAGGCTTGATTCTGTACCATCCTCCTAACTAATCCTAAAGGCTAGAAATTAAACTTGTACCTGAGATGTAACGAGAACAATGACATGGGCACTTGCAAAGGCAGTATCATGACGGATTAAGTGCATTGTCAGTTGTCACAAACAACTTCATTTACTAACAACCATAAAAGGGTAACCAAATTCTACCATATCTCACTAGTTTTTGTTCCTCGTTTTGAATCATTTTAGCCAATTTCAGCCAAATGTTATTTGATCACAAATATTTTCAAATACCTCTTTTAAGGATTTTAAAACAAAAAGGTTTTATACAGACTAGTCATAACTTAGAGCTTTAATATTTTAATTGCTGTATACTTTTTCCATTTATTTGCTATCTTCCGTAATCCATATACCACAAACGCAAAAGATAAATAAATAAACCCAGTTTGAAGATTAGTCTATTGTTTGTCATATGATCTTTTTTTTTTTTTTTTTTGTAAGCTGTCATATGATCTTTGTTCTAGTCCAATAAAGCAGAAAGAAACTATATCAAGAGAATGATGATAATGCCGAAGCAGTAACCAATTGGCTAAACAGAAAGAAGAACGAAACAAGGATTGTGAGAAAATACTATTTCTCTTTTCTTAATTTTATTTAACCAAAAAACAACCGAATAACAATAGGGTTCTCCAAGCCTTAAATAGGCAAAATAAAATAACAAAAAAAAAGTAAAGAACTATAATCATGCGCAATCAAAGGAGATAACGCACAATAACCGCACACTCAAACATAATCTAAAATAACAAAAGAAAATAACTAGTAATTATTAAAAATCCCTAAAATAACAAAAGGAAATAACTAGTAATTATTTTTCCATACTTCTTCACGAAGAGACTCATCTCATCTTCATCAAGATCACTTTCGGAATCTCCGTTTTCTTTTTCCTCATTCTTCTCTGTGCTTGGTGTTGAGGCTTTTAAGGCAATTCCCTTACTTTTCTTGATGGCTTGTTCCTTCAAGGTTATCCTACTTAGCTCTATTTCATACTCTTGAAGTTTTTCGAACAAGGTTGCAAGATCCATGATTTTCAAATCTTTTGATTCCGTTATAGCCGTCAACTTGGGTTGCCATTCCCTATTGTGCACACTTCTCATCACCTTAGCAATTAACTCAAGGTTAGTAAAAGATTTATCTAAAGCATTTAGATGAGTGACAAGGTGTGTGAATCTCTTTTGCATACTTTGAATACTTTTATTTTCATGAATCTCAAACATTTCAAATTCTCTAGTGAGTGCATTTAATTTTGTAAATTTAACATCACTAGTTCCTTCATGGGTTATTTGAAGAATATCCCACATTTCCTTAGCATTCTTACAATTTGAAACACGAAAGTATTCATCATGACCTAAGGCATTTGTGATCAAGTTTTGAGCTTTAGCACTCCAATTTCCTTTCTTAATTTCATCTTCGGTGTAATTATCTATATCTTTAGGAACATCTTCATCTTCCGCATTTCTTATAGTAGGTGGTGTATACCCTTTTGAACTACATTCCATACTCTTAAATCATTAGATTGAAGAAATATTTTTCATGCGACTCTTCTAATAAGAATAATCGATGCCATTGAAAAATATAATGACCCTAACTGGTAAATCTTAATTAGAAATTTAATTTAAGGATTTAAATGCCATAATTAGATTCAGAGCATGATTTCGAGTATTTTGATTGTAATCATGACTAGGTTATGAACAGTGCGTTCTGCCGGATAATTTGCAGTCTTATAAATTAACCGGTAGAGCTTAAAATGAGCAAAATGATTTTAGAGACATAATTTGACAATTTTGACGCCAAATATGAGTTCAGAACGAAAAATTGTATAGTTTGGCACTTTCCGTGAAAATCTCGTGAATAGTGTTTTCTACCGGGTATTTTGTAATGCTGTTTAAGCAATCGGTAGAGTCCAGAAATAAATAATTGATGAAATAAAAATAAGAAAGTCCAATATATGCCATACAAGTCAAAATAGGACCAATAATGATAAGTTTATAAGTTTTAAGTTTCGTAAGTAAACGACCTACAGTTAGTGGTTCACAGTGCATTTCGTCAAAAACGGTGCAGAAACCATACTGTGAATTATGAATATTGTTCCTTAAGAAATAAAAATTAATGTAAATGCATTCAGAAAAATAAAAATATGTACGTAGCTTTAAGTTAATTCCGGGCAGTTTAAGGGAAAATACGCGAAAGAAAAACATCCGATCAAAAAGCCACATGTGCTTAAAAGACCAAGTCACTCAAAATTTCACTATTCACATCAGTTTCTCTCTCCTCTCTTCCCTCAAAAACCCGAGCTGCTCAGGGAGAAAGGGGGGGGGGGGGTTAGGGTTTGATCTTGTTTTCTTTGATTCTCACTCAATCTTCCACCAAATCACAAAGTCCACTACATGAAATTGATTGTAAACCACCCAATGAATCCATTCCACCGATCAATTTGAGCTATAGTTGATTGTGTGAAGAGTTCTTCCTCCCCACATTTTTGAGTTACTATTCATCAAGGGAAAAAAATTGAGTTTTGGATGGAGCTTTGATTGGAGGTTGCTCTCTAAGCTTTGTACAAGTGTTTAGAGGTAAGAAACCCCTATTTCCATGGTATTAGTTTGATGATTTGAGCCATGAAAATTATGAGCATGTGTTGGGTGGAAAATAAGCTAGTTTAAAATGTAAAGTGATGATGTATTGTGTATGTTTTGGA